CAACGCTGTCTGTCCTTCAGTCTCCAGTTTTCTCCAGTTTCCTCCACTTGGCCTCTTTGCAGAGAAAAACATGCGCCTGAAGACTGGAAGAAGGCGCCCTTCTATGTTCTTAAATTCTCTGCTGTTTTTCTTCTTTTTTTTTCTTTCAGATTTTTTTTTAATTTGAATTAGAAACAAAATTGTTTTACATGACAATCCCAGTTCCCTTCTCCCGTCCTCCCCTACTACCCCCCCCCCCAACTAAAACCCTACCTATCACATATCCTTTCTGCTCCCCAGGGAGGGTGAGGCCTTCCATAGGGTGTCATCAGAGTCTATCATATCCTTTGGGATAGCCCCCCCCCACGTGTGTCTTGGCTCAGGGAGTATTCCTCTATGTGGAATGGGCTCCCAAAGTCTACACCTATGGTAGGGATAAGTACTGAACTACTACAGGAGGTCCTGTAGATTTCGGAGGTTTCCTTAATGAAATCCATGTTCCTGGCATCTGGATCAGTCCCATGCTGGTTTCCCAGCTATCAGTCTGGGGAACAAGAGTTCCCCAGCTGTTTCTGTGGGTTTCACCAGCCTGGTCTGGACCCCTTTGCCCTTCACTCGTCCTTCCCTGCATCTGGATTCCAGTTCAGTTTATTGATAAGTTGTGGGTGTCGGCTTCCACTTCAATCAGCTGCTGGATGAAGGCTATCTGGTGGCATATAAGTCAGTCATCAGTCTCATATAAGTCAGTCATCAGTCTCATTATCAGGGGAGGGCATTTAAGGTAGCCTCTCCTCTGTTGCTTAGATTGTTAGCTGGTGTCATCTTTGTAGCTCTCCAGATATTTCCCTAGTGCCTGATTTCTCTGTAAACCTAAAATGTCTCTCTCTATTATGGTATCTCCATTCTTGTTATCTTAACTCAAACTTTCTGCTCCCTCATGTCCTCTGCATCCCTCTTCTTCTCCCCTTCTCATTCTTCTAGCTCCCTCAAAGGACACAGTCAGCAAGACAAAACAGCAGCCCACAGACTGGGAAAAGATATTCACCAACCCCACATCTGACAGAGGGCTGATCTCCAAAATACACAAGGAAATCAAGAAGCTACTCGCCAAAACACCAAACAATCCAATTAAAAAAGTGG